CTCCGAGTCATTTTCTTTCCAGCCTTATGAAAGCCAATCAGCCTCCACGTGTTTTAAATCTTATTGACCATTTGATCAAGTTGCCACAAATAACCACAATTTACGAAAAAGACTAGAATGAAGTCATGGACCCACTATTAATCAAGTGTGCCATCACATGAGCCAAAGTGTGAAAAAAGGTGTGGTTTATTACCACCAAAAGTTTCAGGTGAGAACACCCTGTCATGCGAACTATGTGAACTTCTCTTTCAAACCATCTGTCTTACAAAACATGAACAGTGGTGTCCTCAAGTGAGTGACCTTTATCCTTTGAGTCTAGGTGTAGAGCTGAGCCTTGTCCTGTCAAGGTAGCTCTCCTATGTTTTGCTATCTGGCTGCTGTTGTTTCTCCAGTGTTGAGGTCTGTGCACTCCTTGCTGCATTGCACAGTATATAACTATTTCCCGTAGCTTTTTCTTTTTAGGGAGTTTTGTCAAGTACTTGTGTTGAGCCTTCCATCCTCGTCAAATCCAACAGCACAAGCCAGAAACAGAAAACTATTATCTTTTGTATCTTTCAAGGTGAACTTTTTATTTCCACTGAGTTGATGTGAACAGCACAGGTTTTGACCCAAATATCATCCAACTATCTGTATCAGTCGCTAGGTGTTATCACTTTGAAAGAGCCAAGAGCTTCCTCTAATGTAAAGGTTCGATATAGTGGGTCGTAGTGGGGAGCCCATGGCACATTCATGCTTTTGTCTATAGAAATCCTTGTACTTAAAATATGTGGCAGTAAGCCAGAGGGCTTACAGTGTGATCTGATCAGGGATAAAGCTGGTGTGTTGTGTAAGGAGCTGTCTTGCTGTATTTGCCTTTATTTGACAGTCTGCACTGCCTCGGTTGTGGTTATACAAGTAAAAAGTGAGACACCATGAATTCATCTGGATTTTTGTTTGCTGGTGAAGTCAGTAGAATTTTTTAATGCGATAGGTGTTCTGCCACCAAGGAGCTGCCTCAGTGATGGATGAGTCACCTTCCTCATCCTTCTCCTCTACTTTCTCTATTATATATCACTGGGATTAAGAAGGTCCGCAAAGTATTCCGTTTACTGTCTAACAATATACTTATTTGAAGTCAGGAGCACTCCACTCTGTCATCGAGCTATGTGAACTTCTGCACTATACACAGTGTGGTCCAGTGTCCACCATCCGGTTACCACCATGACAGGTGGTTTGTGGCTGCAGCCCAGCCCAGCAGCCTCAGCAACAGAGGTGCTGCACATGATTCATTTGAACTCAATGTCCCTAGTCTCCCTTGGAATGCAACCTCTCCCTTTAGAAGCTCTGCCTAAGGTGCAAATTGAAGATCTCGGGACCAGGGCCTCTGCTAGGCATTCCCAGACCACCCTCACTATATGTTTAGATGTGCCAGGTCTGTCCAGCATCCTCCCCCACCACCTAATCCAACTCAACATCAGTGGTGGGGGAGGATGCTGATCAGTTGACAGCTCAGCTCAGCCCCTCTCTTGGACACCCAAGTGTCCAAGAGTGTCCTGGTGCCACATGTACTCATGGACACCTTTAGGTTCTAACACGGTATTCGTTATGGACAAAATGTGCTTTGCACAAGAGTCCAGTAACAGAACATCACTCAGGTTCAGATTAGGCAGGCCATTCCTCTCAATCACGCCCCTCCCTCAGGTCTCACTAAGTCCCCAGGTGAAGCACTCTCAAGCACCCCACCAAGGGTTTTCAAGGCCGGGTACTGTGAACTGTCATTTGGTGCATAAATGAGCTAACCCCCTTGTCCACTGGACAAACCTCCAATATACAGGCAGCAAGGTGAGGGGATACCAAGATACCCACCCGAGCCCACTGCCTCTCACAAAGGGCAACTCCAGACTGGGACATAGTCCAGCCCTCTTCAGGAGACTGGTTCCAGAGCCTAAATCCTGTGTTGAGGTGAGTCCAACTATATCTAGTCATTATCTCTCAACCTCACACACTAGCTCAGGCTCTTTCCCCACCAGAGAGGAAGGGAAAGAGCGTCCTGCAGGTGGTAAGCATACAGGAGTGTGGACCCATGTCCCTTCTTCAGGCTGCACCCGGCCACCAGGCGCTCTCCCTCAGCTACCCTACACAGGCTTGGCTCCAGGTTGGGGGTCCGGTAACTCCATCCTGGGCAGGGGGAACGGTTCCCTTGGTCTTACACTCATACGGGTCTTCTGTAATGCTCTTTGTCTGGCCCCTCACCCAGGACCAATTTGCCATGGAAGACCCTACCAGGAGGCAAAAGCCGCCTGAAAACTAGCCCGTGGAACACACAAAACCATCTTCATGTTGGGGGTCACTAATCACATCCTTCAATAATGACTCATGCCACTTACCTGTGTGGCACCTCGCATCGTGCATTATGAATATTCCACGTTATATTCCAAACAAACAAAGAAGAAGAACATTAAAACAAATCAGTGTTTAATATGTTACAAAAAAAGTTGAAATATGACAAATTCATATCCAAACAACTAATAACTTGCGAATGGAAAGTGTCACGACAAGACTTCCGTCTCTCTAGCAACCTTCTCCACCTTATGTGGAGTTCCCAGGCCAACCGAGAGACATAATTTCTCTCAAGCATGTCCTGTATCTATCCCCTCGGTGGGACATGGCCAGCCTGAACACCTTACCTAGGATGTGACTGCCTCAGCTGGCTTTTTTGATGTGGTGGAGTAGCAGCTCTACTTGGGGCCCCTCCTGAATCACTCAACTCCTCACACTATTGCCAAGGGAGAGCCCATCCACCTTTAAAAAAGCTCATATCGGCTTCTATCCGCATTCTCATTGTTTTGTCTTTAAAATAACTAACAACAATAGTGTTAACAAAAAGATCAGACTTTTCAACAACAATGCTTTATCTGGTGGCAGACAGCTGCATAACATTTATGACACAGCTATTTACCCAAACTGACCATCAGTGAAAATTAACAATGAGATTAAACAACTAGTATGTGTGACCATAACAACGATCAGATATCTAGTCAACTAGTCGTGTACAATCCTACTGTGCATCCTAATATTTAATTTATCCCTTACTTTTGTCTTATTCAAATTTTACTGGTAATTTATGTCACATTTTTAAAAAATATTTTATTCAGTTCTGAGCTAATAAGATTCAAAGGTTGCTTCCAATTTTCAGCATTTCAGCATTCAGGATTTCAGCAGATCCCAAGATATATATATTTTGTTTAAATCACACATTTTACAAATAATTATTATACATAAAAACCTGGCCCTAATACACCATAATAGGGATGGACCGATCCGATATTACGTATCAGTCTGATACTGACCTAAATTACTGGATCGGATATCGGAGAGAAATAAAAAAAAATGTAATCCGATCCATTAAATATCAGGAAAGCATCTCACAAAGCTTGCGACACGGCGTAACTCAGCGGCTGTGGTGTGTGAGACCTGTCGGCGGTCTGGTTAAACATTTGGAGCCTCGCTACCAAACCGGCATTTCATCTCCGAGAAAGTTATCCCAGCGAGAAGTAAAGCAAGTGTGTAAGTTCATCTCTGAATGTTAGTAAAGCATTCCCACGTTAAGCTTAACAACTGATATATGGAGCGACTGCCCCTTGTCTCTCCCTCCCTCTCCTGTTGCTACTGCAATCATGAAACTGATCAATGATCAGCTGATCGACTTTTCTCTCTTGTTTGTTTTTGGCCCACTTTGCACCAGAAAGAGGAAACCAGCGGCTAAACAACAGCAGCATGTTTAAGCTTGATAAACTGCTGTTAGATTTTATTTAATATTACTTTCCACACCAGGATCCTTTTCTACGTAGCTGACGGCTGGTAACTGTGCAGGGGCGGGTCTAGCAAAGTTTAGCCAGGGCGGCAGTTAGGCCATTAACAGGGAAAGGGGGGCACAAAGACATACTTTTCTTTCTTATTCTCATTTAAAATGTCTAGCTTTTAATAAATAATTATCTGAATCTTACACCCAAAGTTTTTTATCTGATGTAAAATGTATAGAAGTCCATTACTGTATATAGTAACTATAAAGTCTAATATACCCTAGTAAGCTACAGTACTTTTTCCTTTGAGAAGGTACCATCTGTGCAGTCTGCAATTCTGTTGAAGAGAGATGTTGAATCTATTTAATTATTCTTGAAAATAATTTATTTCTGTGCAATTTCTTTCACACTGCATCGAATTAAAGTTGATTACGTTGATTAAGCATCATGAGGTGGAGGGTGGGGGATGGCTCCCTATGTTTTTTTTTTGTTGCTGGGAGTTGGCAACCCTATTAGTTAGGTTGCAAAATTTTTCTGCTAAGTACTGTTTAAAATACCAGAATAGGGAGGATGGTGCAGGTTTAAGTTTATTAGATTGATCAGTATTGCTGAACTATGAAATATTTTGGGTGCAGTGTATTTTTTGCATACAGGTATAACCAAATAGCTTTAGTGGTTTTTTTTTTAAAACTTGAGTATGAACTTATACAAAATGCAGCAAGATATTAAAAAAACAGTTTTATTGATTAAAAAATATTTTATCGGATTCATATCGGTATCGGCAGATATCTAAATTTATGATATCGGTATTGTGTCGGACATAAAGTGGTATAGTGCCATCTCTACACCATAATACACACCATCTTCACATCTTTCATCTTAAAAGGTATTTTGTAATCCTGTTGATATTTACGGCTCATCTTGGACAATTTTTGTCACACACTAATTTAAATACTTTAACAAACTATTACTTCAGCAAATTATATTCATTTTCATCATTGCACACTGCAAAGTTGTGGCGTTTTTTTTTTTTTTGCTTGTTGCGTTGGGTTTTTTTACTGAGGTGCATCTGGATATTTTGTAATTAGTTGCTAAAAACTAATTCCTTCATATTCATTAACATTACTTGTAGAAGCCATCCTTCATTTTGAGCTAAGTCTGCACATTTTAGTATGGTACACATCATAATTAATTTCAGAACATGAAAAATTCACCTACCAATGTTTTGATACAGGTTAGAGATTGTACTTTCTGAAGGAACAGCTGGCTCTAGGAGGGAGATAAAAAGAAGTCAAATGTGCAAACATGTCATGCATTCATTCCTGAAATAAATGTAAACTTTTAACCAATCGCATTAGGACCCTCTTCCTGTAAACAGACAGTTGATTCAAGCGAGCAGTTGTTTCAAGAGCAGACAGTAAATCAGTGATTGCAAAGCCATCATTGCAAAGCCATTACAAAGCAATCATGTGTGTAATCATGCACACAAAATGATGGCTTCTTTGAGTTCTACACATGGAGGTTGTTGATATGGGGAGGAATGAAAACGAATTATTGGTTCTTTTACTAGTTAGCTAACATAAACTAATGTTAGTCTATTGAACCAATGAACCGATCTTGTGACATATAACGTTCTGTACTGACAGAAAACTCTCAATACTGAATCACAGGCTCCTCCATGGTCCTGAAACTGTACAATGGCTATGCAAAATAAAGGGCATTGGTTGTAACTGTGTTTTCTTCTTTGACAAACCAATAATGCAGTCTTTAAGATGACGCGTTGACATTTTATATAGGAAATGTAGCTATGTGCATATCCTAGACATATTTCCTATATTAGTAATCCTCACCAGAGTAGTAGCATGTTTTATCTTCTGAACAATTCCATTGTGACCAAGGTACTGTAGGGACAGCCAGAGAGGCAGTGCCCGTAGCTTCTCCACAGGGTGGCTGGAAGTTAAACCTGCTGCCAGAGACTGGGAGACACAGTACAGAGACGCAGAGCAATGAGGGAGTTGCACAAACATAATTCCCAAGACCCCACTGGATCACCAAAAGATGTCACAAAAGTGATCACAATATGCACTCTTTCAGTTTCTCTGAAAATGATGTCAGCCCACCAGTGCAGGGTCTTCATGTCTGTAGAGGGTGACAGCAGTCACAGCCGGCAGTCCTAGCCACGGACCTGGTGTCAGTGTCATACTGTCACTTCTGGTGGCTGCCTGCAGAGACATGAAAGACCAACACCGATACACAGAACTTACATTACCACTTACAAGAATGTCTCATACATTGGAGGCTGTAGGAAGGAGAGAAACAAGTGCTCTTATTTCTGTTGAGTTTCTAAACTTTCACCTGTATCTTCAAAACAAATTAAAGGAACACTTTTAATCAGTGAAGAATCAAGACATTCAAACTTTTGGGATATATCTGGTAAGTAGTAAAAGGGGTTGGTCATCAGTTTCAACTAGAGGGGCGACAATGACACAACCGCCAAAGCTGACTGTTTTACATTTCACTGGGGTCAGTGTCACTACTGGCAGCATGAGATGGTATCTGGATCCTATGGAGGTCCCACAGGTAGTCCAACACCTCCAATTGCCAAAAGATTGGCATAGAAGGTAGTACTGGTAACAGTAAAGTGCCCAATATCCTCTAATTTGCCCTGTGCTCACTGCCTGGCAACATGGATCCTAACTGGCATTTACCATAGGACACAAGAACTGGAAGGTCCACCACTCTTATGCACATTCTTTAATTCCTAACACATTACCCAGGCCACATCTGTATATTCAACATGATTTCTTCCCATTGTAATCTGATGTGTGTTCCTTTAATGTTTTTTACATATGACCACAGCCCATGTCAGATATGGATGGAAGTCAAAAAGATTGAGGTCATTAAATACTTTTTTCTTTTTCAAACATCTGCTGTTAATTTGCTGCTGTGCCTGTGAGTCACTGTCCTACTGCAAGAACCAGTTGGCCAACTTTTAGCTGTCAAGACATATGTCCTCTCATTTGACTCTAGACTAATTTGATATCCAAAGGAGTTCATTATTGACTAAGAAGGCATGGTACCCAGGAACCATGACTGTAAAACAAAAACAAATCCCCTCATGCAGGTCGCAGGAGGTGATTTGTGCAGATGTGCTGTGTTTGCTTTTACCAAGCGTGGTTCTGTGCATTATGACAAAAAGCATCTCCACCTTGGTCTCGTCTGTCCAAAAGGCACTTCTAGAAGTTTTGTGATTTGTTCAGGTGCTGTTTTACAAACCTAACCCATACTATCATGTTCTTTTTAGTGAGATGCTAAATACTTTTTTCCTGAGAATCCTTCCAAACAAGCCATTCTTGTTCTTCAAATACGCCTTAATTCTTGTAACTTTAAGCAGTTCTCATGCTAACTGAAACCTGTAGACTCAGATGTAGCTGGTTTTATGGATGTGTTTTTTTGATTTTTGGCAGACATACCCTAACCTTGATGTGAATTTGCGGAAACATCCACTACAGGGAAAATCAGCATCTGTTTTCGAATGTTTTGCACTTGTGAATAATCATTGTCACTGTAGCATTATGTACTTCAAACTGTTTGGAAATGGCCTTCCTGGCCTGATGGGCAGAAACAATTGCTTCTCTAAGATCACTGCAACACACATCTAAATGCTCCAGCCATGCAAACTGCCAAAACCTCTACTTTTATAGAGGCGGTCACACTTGGTGATAATCAGTTAATCAACTGCATTTGATTATCAACACCAGGCTACTACTTAGATTATTTCATATAGAAGCAACGATGTACTTTTTTTTTTCCACACAGTTTCTTTATCTTCTAATAATAGAGCCTGGTAAGGAATCTGGTAAAATATTTTTTTATTAAGTCCTGATATGTAAAACCTTTGAATTTCAATGGAGTGTGCTTTCTTTTTTACAGTTGTAGATTAACCCCATATTGGATAGATTTTAACATAGGTTTACCATGATAGAAGAGGTGACCTGACCCAGTGCTAGGGTCGCCAGATTAACCCTGAAAAAGAAAACACATAATCAGCTAACATTACAGCAGCAATGTAAATTTAAAAAAAAAAAACTCCACGTTTTCTTCAAGAATTAGTGGCAAAGAGCAGTGCAAACCAAGCTTTTGCTATAGTTGTACAGGTAAGAAAATGGATGAAGACAAGAGAGTTAGACATAATTGGGATCACGTCAATACACAGCTAGATTTCTGGAACCGGTCTCCTGAAGAAGAGCTCAATTTTGTTCTTTTGAAGTTGTCTTTGGTGAGAGGCAGCAGGCAGGGGTGGGAGGACTTTGGTTTGGTTAGGCCACGAATATAGGCTTTCAGTCTGCCTCAAACCATCAGGGGGAAGTGTTGCTCTACTCACCTGTCTATTTTTTGCAGATAACGTGGTTATGTTAGCCTCACTAGGCAAAGACTGGAGAACCTCCAAGTCTTAGGCCATGGTTCTCAGCTGGAAAAGGATGGAGTACCCTGTCTGGGTTTCTGGGGCTTTATTCAAGAGTAAGGAGGGAGTTGAGTGAGAGACAGACAGCAGAATTGTACTGATACTATGGTGAAGAGTGAGCTGAATGTGAAAGTGAAGATGACAATTCACTGATTGAGCGACTCTCTTCCCTCTGATATGTCCTTGAGCTCTGGGTATTGACTGAAATGATGATATTGCAAATACAAGAAGTGGAAATTAGTTTTCTCAGAAATGTAGTTGAGCTCTTCCTTGGAGAAAGGGCTAGTGATAAAGAGCTCGTCCATTGAGAAGGGGCTTAGAGTGTGAACAGCAAGGAGCAGTTGGGGTGATTTGAACATATGACTGGGACGGCTCATTGATGTGAAATGTTTCACACATGTCCGTGAAGGTTCTCAGTCATCCAGGTCATGGTAGTCTACGCCCAGAGTCAGGTCTGAGCATATCTGCTTAGACTGCTGCCTCAACAATAACTCACATAACCTGACAGATAGTGTTCGGATTGATCCAAACAAATTGGCTTCTTTTTTTCAGCTGCTTGGCAGCAAACAAGTATCATTTTACAAGCCATCATAATATCACAGAAGCTGGGTCAACGAAGATGTACTTTGCATGAATATAAAATCAGTCTAAACATCCATTTGAAATTGTTTTGTTTTTGCAATCAATCTATTTTAGAGGTTGACAGGAGCTACCCACCCCTCTACATGAAGCCACATGTTGTACTGATCACACAGTTCCTTCAGTCGACCTAACTTGTCTGTGTGCCCTGCTCCAGGGGTACCTGAAAAATTAAAATAATGGATAAGTGGAAGAGAATGGATGGTTGGATGAATGGAAATATACCAAAAACATATAATTAAGTCACTGAAGTTCATATTCAAAATGCAGAGTATTCTCTGTATTCTGAATTGCTGTTTAACCATCAAATGTATAATCTTTAACTCATTAAGCACAGACATATATAAAGTGCAATGTATAAACTGTGGCTGTCCTTTACCTGCATTGGCAATCAGCAACAAAGGAAGCTTCCCTGCATTTATGTCCTCTTTGATGAGTTTTTCCAACAGGGCAACATCCTGACGATGACAAAAAGGATCCAAGCCAACATAGTTTTTATCTAAACTACTTGACAGATAGGTGTATGTGTTTTTCTAATCTGTGTTGTCCTACCATTTGGTGTTGGGATCCAAAGAGGGTGTTGCATGGCACTGTGCACAAACTGGAGAGAGGCAGGCCAAGCTAATGATACAAACACTGGCATGAAAATCACTATCTATTTTGTATTCAACTGGATGAAGTACAAGAGATCCTATATAATGGTAATACTGTCCTTCA